CAAATATTTATGCGTAACTCGCTAGAATGTTTTGAAAAGTTTACTACGCCTAGAAAATGATGATATAGATATTCTGTGAACATTCCAGGAAAATAATAAAATCTTTATTGTTGTAAACATTTGTCTGCACGGTTTTTCGAATTGTTAAGAAAACAACAAGGAAAATTAAAAAAATTATTTTATCAATGCACCAATGAGCTGTAGATACAATTTGCTTCCGGCAAGATACTACTTTTGATAATCGGAGTAATATGTTTGGTAGAAAAGTTGTTTACAGCCTAGTAAAATTAATGCATTCATTGTATTAAATTTTCAAGAATATTACCCTAATAGTACTATACGCTTAATGTGAATAGGTATAGAGAACCTATTAAGCTAGTACTAAAAGTTAAAACATTGTATATTTAACACCAATATATTTCTCTCTATTTAGAGTCAAAAATATGTTCAAATTGGTACTTATCAAATTATAAAAATGTTATTCTGTATTGTTCAAATATATATTGTATAAAAACAAAAATCTAAAATTGTATCTATAAATCAAAAAATACATACTAAAAAAACTAAATTTTATAATTTAAACACCTTATTAATATAATAATTAATACCCAACGTAACCTAACCTAACATTCTTCATTGGAGGAGATTACTGGCATAGTACCACTCCTAAGCCGTAGAGGGAAAATCCCGAAAAAAGCTAAATACTTTTCGAAATGTGCAATTGATTTTCACTCTGTGCAATTTTTTTTTTGTCATATAACATAATTAATTGTCTAAACTTGCTTAAAAAAAAAAATGAAATTAATAATTTGTCTTTGAAACTATATTTTTGCCGTCGAAAAATTTTACGGCAGTAATATTAAAAAATATATATAGTTGAACGGTTGAAAATTTTAAATTTTTTTATATGTTCTTTTTTTTTTTTTAATCGATTACACGTTTCATAATGTTAATTATAATAATTTAGAGTACTCTAATAATACTAGTATAAGTAAGAAAAAAAAAAAAAATCGGGAACTTGTTTACGTTTACATTTTAGATTATAATTGCATTTAGAATATAATATGATATATTTCCGATTCCTCTCCATCATCCCTACAACATATGGGTAACAATAATATACTCTTGTATTATATTATACAATATTGCTTCTTTCTTTAAAACTGCAGGCAATGGGATTTCATTGTTGGTTTTGAAGCGTTAAAGTTTAATGGCTTTTGGCCATTCGCGGGAGAGGATGTACCAGACACGCCTCTCCGGCAAACGATATATAACATTATATATATATATATATGTATACAATGAATTAACGACATTATTTGGACCCATTAGTTATATCTGAAATTACTTTTCTTCCAATTCCCCGTTGTGTCATTCTCAACATGCACTTTGGTTCGGTTGTTAGTCTCGAATTTCGGTATAAAATAAAACCGGCCCACACACGCGCACGCACATGCACACACTTATATCCCCGTGACAATAACATGATAATAATATATATATATCACATATATTACCGTATTGTGTATGTTTGCGATTCTGTTTTCGTGACACTGTGTTGTACCTACGCTGCCTACTCATTAATTGTATTGCAATGAAGTAAACGACGTACCTAATATTAGTACCGTAGTCGAGTACCTTTGACCGTATTTTTTCTACAAAAATCAAACAGATTTCCTCGTAATCGCGTTTAGTGGTAACAGTTATCATGTTTTACGCGTCCATTATCGATTTTATTGCACGAAAAATAGTTTCAAAACGCCGTAAACAATTTTAATGCAATTTTTTGAAAAAAAAAAAAAAAACGTTAAGTAAATAGGTAACTTTATCATAAGAACCATAGATATTATCATCGATTATAATAAATTTATAGATATAGGCGATATAGTATAAATAGTATATAATAGTAGGCTATATACAATAATATACAGTAGTCACCTATTCAGGCGTGAATCAATTGAAGGGCCCTTGGCATGTTGTGGCTATCTGGTTAAAACAAATACTTTAGGTACCTACCGGGTGATCCATTTAAGTGAATACACTCATTATTTTTGAAAGTAATAGGTGGAGTATTAGTTGAAATAAATTTGAGTGTTGACATTTTTTATTTCTGTTAGGCCGTTGACCAGTTATTCCAGTTTTGAGTTTAGATTGTAGGACAGTAGTGGTGCATTATTAACACGTAGCGCGCCGTACCGCCACACAAATGATACTCCACTACTCTCCTCCAACCCAAAATTAAAAGTGAAATATCTCGTTAACGGCTTGATAGAAATCAAACATTTCAACACTCAAATTTATTTAAACTAATACGCAATCTATTTGTGAATATATTAATATAGGTTGCAATTTGAAAATCAAAAGTAGGTAGTGGTTTCACCCTCAAAAATAAGGGTAACAAAAATTAACATAAATATAAAATTGCAGAGCAGCTTGTTACTTAAAACAAACTCCGGGAAAAGTTATTACTTTCCGATATAATGAGTATAAACACTTGAATGGATCACCTGATATGTACACGATATACACATATGTATGTATTTTTTAGAAGACCGGGCATGTTTCTATGAATCTGCCAAATTTGATTGTGAAGATATTGAGTGTTCGAATTTATAATTGAAATCAGAATTTAATTTGTTGAAAATTAAATGGGCCAAAATTCAAAATAATTCACAAACCATTCAACCATTAGCACACTGCAGTGAATTTTCTCCCCGACGTCAAAATACTTTTTCAAATTTTTGCCTCGTTACCATTTTCCACAAATACAGTGAAGAGATCTTTCTCAGCTTTAAGAAGATTAAAATATATTTACTGTCCACTATATTTAAAATAGGCCTAAACGGTTTGGCTATGCCAAACATACACTAACAATCAACAAATAGTGATAGTAACCAAGTTGTTGACATATTTGAGCGAAAAAATTAGTAGAATGGAGTTAGAAGATGAATTTTAATTTTTCCTTTAAACATTTATTATTATTTTTTTGTTATAAAAAAAATTAATTTTTTTAAAAAAGGAATTTGTTTAGGAAGTGTTTTTTTATTAAGTTTCCGCTTATGTTATTTTTGAATATTAAGCAAATTAATTTTTTAAAACTAAAAACAGGTCACACCATTAGAATGGAGTATATATAGAACATGAAACCTTAACCTACACTTTTGCGCAATAGCATCCCCGTGCGCGCCCGAAGGGGGAGCAAGATGGGACCCCTGCACTTAAAAATCTCATATTATATTGAATATAATCAATGGTATTATGGTAAAACCGGGAAAAAAACGGGAAATGTACGAAATAATTAGTAAAATATTACGGTATTTTTTTTCCTGTAAACAACTTTTCCATTGACAATTTTGCTCCGACTTATAATAATAGCTTTTTTTTTAAAAAGAAAATCTGACTGGGGAGGTACTTTAAGGAGGTCATTTTTTGATTTTCTCAGAATTTTTTCCCATAAATTGGGAAAAACGGAAATGAGAAAAACGGGGAAATAGGTATAAGGGGTACTAAGGTGTAGTAGGTACATTAAATATTATTAAAGAAAATATATAACGCATATGTAATTATTTTACCATAATATGACATATATATTAATGACAAAGTAACACTATCAACCGAATACCGCGGTAACGGTGACCCACTTATCAGCAGTATCAGCTCTATTTTTTAGGACTGTATCACTGATATTTAGATCTGGTATCTATAGTAGTAAAATAGTGTATCTAAAACGTCCACCTCCATTATACATCGAAATTCATCATTTAATTTAAAATTGCGAATCATCTAAATCGATACATGAGGATGTCGTAGGTTTGTACCCGCGTGTCGACATATTTAAATTTTTTAAACGTGATATAGTGGGGTTTTTTTTTTTATAAATGTTGGTATTTCGCTTACTACTGTATATTTTGGTCTAATCTTTAAGTTTTATTGTTGGTCAGTTCACTATTATTTTAAAACTAACAACCCAAAATTAAGCCTGCTGAATGCAAATTAGTTCTATGACGTTTATTACATTAATAAGACTTAGACAGCACATCTAGGTATACTATATTTGAATCATTTATTTATCTTTTCGATTTAAAATAATAATAATTGTATCGTAAATTTACGGTTGAATTTGAAAAGTGAAATTAACGAAAATCAACGACAATATTCATGCGTATTCACGCGCGATTCGTTTGTGGACGGGAGAGAGGCTAATAGCTTTCCCTCTATAAATTCCGTTCAAAAGCTCCGAAACCCGTCCTACTTTTATTTAAAACCACTATTTCCCAGGGAATTTCAGAGGAAGCTTCAGCCCGCTTCGATATCTTTAAAAATACGCCCTATAATTATATATTATACAATAATTTAGACTTGTACGGTGTACATCTTTTAGACGGAAATTCGATTAATCGTTAATTCGTCCATTGATCGTAATTTGTGTTTACTCCTGTTTGCCTTATTTCTTATGTCTAATTTCTACAAGTATACCGTTTGTTAAACGTGTTCGTTATTATAGGTGACACCATTATACAAAAAATTACAAGAGTGATCACTCTTACAATAATAATATTATTGCATAATACTGGTATTAAGTTGAGGTATTACAAATATATGCTGTTTATTACATTTATATATTATATATTGTCCAAAAATTCAAGTTTTAATCAATATAAATATAGGTAGTAGGTATTATAAAGTCACAATAATAATATGACCTTTGAAAACGATTTGAGTTCATACATATTTTACAATATTATTGTTTAATACTAAATAATACATAAAACATATCAGTATGCCACTATATATATATATTAAGCATATAGCAAAAAAAAAAAAAAATGTTCAAAAATCATAATAATTTATACAAACTAAAATAATTAGTGTACTGTTATAATAATTTCAACAACGTATTATAAAATATACCATTTTTATTTTTATTTTATCATATATGTATTATATACAATGGCGTAGCCATGGGAGAAAGGGTGTAGTATGGCCCCTTCCATTGGCCGCATAAACTTATTTACATCCGTAGTTATAATTTATTTTGTGCGTTTGGAAAATTTGCTACGGGTGAGTGCTCTTAATTCTTTTCAATTTGTTGAGATTAACCTTTTTCAAATTAGATTTTATCAAAACGGTCCATGGTTTATGGTAGATCATAGATTACACACGATCTAAAGACGGATTTCCAACTATCCCGTTTACGTGTACGGAATGCTCTGTGATTGGTTGTAACATTTCGATACTGTTAACTTACTGCTACCAGGATACCGCAGAGTTGAATTCGAGTCAACTTTTCGACGTGTGATTACTAAAGTTTACTGATAAACATATTATTATTTTGTGAATTGTTATAGTATAATTAGATCATACACGGTGAGCGAAGCATCATTTGAATATGCATGTACATGGGATAGCTGAGAATCCTCTTCAAGGGTTTATGGCACAGATATATGCAATATATTATTGTATATATCTGTGGTTTAGAGTAATAGCGTTATTTGAACTTAGTTTATGTAGTAGGTATCAATAGCTACACATCTGTGGTAATGGTAACACTCTAGACCATATACTAAGAGAATCGTGCAGTATTTTTGACTTTAATAATAATGGGCTATCATCAAATTATTATTAAAGTTTAGTTAAAATATGTAAGTGTAAACAATTGTTATAAAAATAAAATAAATTATTGTTGTTAATTGTTGAGTATTTTTTTTTTAATTTTTGGTCTTGCCCCTCCCCATTTCAAAAATTCTGGCTACGCCACTTTATATTACAAATTTTGTTAACATTTAAAACGAATAATATATGTCTTGGCCGTCTTCATATTCTTCTGTATTCTTAATAAATAAATAAATATTCTTGTCACATCTTCACGAGTCATAACTTCGGGATTGGTCAAACGAATGATAGGTGTATTTTTAAAATTGTATTTATTCAAAATGTTATAAATAAACCTATATTAAACTTACGATATTCTGAAACATATATATATATTTAACATCAAAACCAGTGGCGTCGTTTGGTAAGGGAAGACGATCAACTTGGACATCTATCTCAGTCTAACAAGTTTCTGATCGATAATTTTGATAAAAGTTTGTTTTGGCCTTTGAAATAAAATACGGAATATACTTGTATTTATTATTTTGAAAATTTGTGTTTTTTTATTAAAATAATATTTATAATCTACGTTGAAGTATAGATTATAGGTTGTACTTAGTGCCCGAACAAAAACAAATGTAAAATGTAATGCAGAAATTTTTTTTAATAGTGATCAAATTCAATTTGATTTAAAATCATAAATATTACTTCAACGCATAGTAAGCAAATTAGAAAATAGAAATAAAAAATACGTAACAATGATGTACACGAGGAGGGAGGCTCTACTGCTGTGATAGAACCCAACAGAAAATTTTAAAATTGGAAATAAATACCTAGTATTAAACGAAGGTCAACATTCGATTGAAACGAGAATATTTTTAATATTTTTTTTTTTTTCGAAAAATCGCGCCTTTTTACTGTATCGGTTGGCAAATTTGAAGATTTCGCTTCTGTCTACCAAATAATAAAATTGTGCCAATGATCAAAACAATAATATATAATAAAATTATGGTTCTAAAGCTCGAGATTTAAAAATTATCGTACAATATACAACATGTTATTATCATATAATTGTGACTATATTATCGGTTTTACACATTTTTTTTTCGTTTCTAAAATTAATTATGAATAGTGTATTTGTACGAGTTTTACAAACAAATCGAATTTTAAAAATTATTCGTGTAATTGTATATCGCATAGGTTAGGTTATACTTAGGAAAAATACATTGTTATATTTTATTACTCGATCGTCCGCAGTTAACTGACTGTTGTTTTTTACTTACATATTTTGGATATCGTACGTCTATAGCAATAGAAAAAAAAAAAAAAAAAACATATTTATATTATAAATTCAAGGGATAAAACATATAAATTATGGCATTACAAATATAATATATCTGTACATGTATATTGTAAAACGTTTAGATTATAAAATTAAAACAAGAATTTGGGCGAAAATAAAATCATTATATGTGAAGATCGTGATGCAATTAGTGACTACGAAAATAATATTTTATACCTATACAACACAAATCACCGTATAAATTCAAACAAAAGCCCAAAAAGTATAATTTGATCACCCGTCGCGCAAATTTAACAACGCGCCGTTTAAATTAAAAAAAATATACTGCCGTCGACGGCAACGTTTAAAAATATTGTAGACGAATTTTTTCCGTGCAAAATTATCGCCGCAAACAAAGTTGTCGATACATTTTTCTGAAATTATCGCTTAGGAAATTACTGCATTAAATCGCAAAATAAATTTATAAAGACAGTGTACCTATTTATTTTTTTTTTTTCTACTTTTTGAACTAATTTCCCATGTCTAATTTATATTCATTGAGATATTTCACCATATTGCATAGTGCGTTAAATTTAAATGTGTTTCGAAACGTTTTTTTGAGTGAAAATCCTGAAAACAAAACTTTTCTGGTAAAAATATATACATTAGTGAATGTAATATTAATTATAATATACATATAGGTACAGAATATAGGTTTCGATATCGCATTACAGTATCGTTGTGTACTGCAGTTGGTTTTTGATTTTGAAATCGTTGCCGTGGCGGAGATGGGCGAAACCCGAGGCGCATTTCTCCAACTGCTGGTGACGGCTCCTGACCACGAACCTGTTGACGTGCACCGGTATGGGAACGACGATTTTTCCCGCGCCCCCTGTACATTTCGACCTGCCTCTCATCGCGGAGTTGCCACCGTCCCCGTTGACCTTTTGACCGTCGGAGTATGCGGTTGTTGACAACACGCTCGCTTTTACGCGTTTCCATTTCGCGCGCCGGTTCTGGAACCATATTTTCACCTGACGACAATATGAACCGTCATAAATATATAGATAAGTCGAATGGTACTATAATAATAATAACAGTCCGCGCAAGCAAGCGTCACAGATATAACTGATGTACGACGAGACAGCGGGCATATTATTACACACTGTGATGAACTGATGACGATAATAAACTAAATTAATAAATACATTAGGAAAAATACGTCCTAGGATAATAAAGACCGGTGCAGCCACTGTTATTATGGGTAATTTAATGCAAACCTGTAAGCAAAGATAAACTATTGCGAACGAAAAAACGATTCTGAGCAGAGTTCAGTTGATAGTGTCAACAATATATACGTCATATTATGGTAAATTAATTAAATAGGCATTACATATTTTCTTTAATAATATTTGTTTGATTTTGAACCAATTTTCCTGGTTTTCTTACATTTTTCCGGGTTTTCCCATGTTTTTTTGCCGGTTTTTCACATTTGCTGGGAAAACTCTTAGGAAAATCAAAAAATGACCTTTCTAAATTTGGTACCACCCCAAGAAAATTTCCTTTCAGAAGAGAGTACATCGTATACAGAGTAAGCTTTCTAGTTTTCACATAAATCTGAAATTGTATTTATTTCAGAAATTATTATAACTAATAATTTAATCATTTTCTTGCGATACATAGTATTTATTTTTTAAAAATGTTGAGTGTTTTGTTTTGATAATTTGAATTTATATTTTGTGTAATTTTAAACTATTATATGCAATATAATCCATAAGATATAAAATTGGGTTTTACAGCATACTCTCAAAAAAATTAATGAGGATATACCTAACAGTATAAATTTATCAATGAACAGCAACATTTCGAATCTTATTCCTTCAATACTTAATATTGACAATAGATTACAAATCTGTTTTTGTAATAATTGATAATGAAATTATCCATAACAAGATTAAATATGAATTTAAATTTTAAGAAGATATCGAGATTCTGAAAATTTAGTTTATTTTGATACTAATAACTAATAACTAATTGATAACTAAATCATTTAAAATGTTGAATTACCTGTTAAGTACTGCAGAATATGCGTTTAAAATAATGTTGTATAAGCTTGTGTTTATTGTTTTTATTTTTCTTTATTATAGTTCAAATGTATTTTTTAGGTTTGGAGCGTAGCAAGGGATCAATTAATTTCAATACGACACTATCTATGATGTATTTTTGATTCTGAGTGGAGCGAGGAATGTATTGGTTTTTACAATGATATTCATTATTTTTTTCTGTTTTTTCATAAAATTTAAAAAACCGAAAAAAAAAACGGGAAATTGTACGAAATATATTACTAAAATATTTATTTTTTTTCCTGTGCACAACTTTTCAACCAGTAATTTTGCTCCAAATTTTAATGATAGCAATGTTTCTTAAAGTGAATTTCACTAGGGGGGTACTTTAAAGAGGTCATTTTTCGATTTTCTCAGGAGTTTTCCCAGCAAATGTGAAAAACCTGGAAAAAACACGGGAAAACCGGGAAGAAAGTAGGAAAATTGAGGAAATCGGTACAACATTAAACAAATATTATTAAAGAAAATATATAAAGCCTATTTAAATATTTTACTATAAAATGACATATATATTGTTGATAAAGCATCACTATCATTAGAACTCCCCTCAGAATTGTTTTTTCGTAGTAATAGTTTATCAGGTATACATTAAATTATCTTTGACAGTGGCTGCACCCATTTCCATTATCCTAAGAAAGATTTATTTTATTATTTTGTGTATCTGCGAGCAACTTTTTTAACAGAAAACTTGCTCCAATCGAAAAAGGACAAGAGGTAAATGCTTTTTGATTATCCGTGTAATTTTCTTAATTAATGAGCAAAACTGAAAAAATACATTTAAAGAACGACAAAATTTATGAAAATAATGGTTTCAATTTTTCAATTTTGGTTTTTTGTTGTAATTTAGTTAAAAATATTTGTGAAATCCTGAAATATTGGCGGAAAACTTATATTTGCCTTTTATAGACCTGATAAAATTGTAAAACCATTTTAGAAATGTTTATGTTAGTTGAAAGTATTTTATGGTTGTGAGGTATTAACGTAGTTTTTATATATTTGATATATGGTTTAGGTACTATATGTAGATATAATTGTTTGATTAAACAGAAATGCTTGAAAATTTAATAGCAGGTTCATTTTGAGTTTTACATATTGTTCGAACAATATAATGTAGAATGTATTGTATTAGTTTTTTTTTTTATGATAACATTTTGATTTAAAATCATGAATATAGCGGTTTTTCAATTCATAGGTAAACGAACTTCATTCAGACTCGTATATCGTTAACAATGGTTTATTATTATTGCCTATATAATTAGACATACATTTAATAACTTTATGTATACTACACTATAGCTTATAGGTGCATTTTTGAAGGGTATTCCGCTAAAAGACTGAAAAAGAGAAAATTGCAATAGTTAAAAAGAACCAAAATATTATTTGTGTAGCTTATGGCTGAGTTGCACAAACGTTCTGTAAATTATATTGGCTCTGTAACATGTAATGGTGTTGCACAATGACACGTACTCGTATAATGAATTTATAAATTAAAATATAATGATAACAATGTTTACCGGTTAAATTAATCCATTTATATGTGATAACTCTGAACCGCGATTTTTTTTACTCGAGTATAGATAACCGAGTCCTGAACAATGATAAGAAATGAAACTGTAGCATCTTTGTGTCAAAAAAAAAACCGTATATTTTTTTTTTGTATGTGCCATTAGGTTAGTAACTGAATCGTTTAAAATCTACATCATGAAACTAAATCAGTGGATTCGATCTATTCCGAATATATCTTTGCTTTGGTAACGTGGTCATCAGCTCGATAATAAATTCATTATTACTTTATGACAAGGATAACAAATCCGTAATTTAAGTTGAGTTACATTCAAAATTTAGCAATAGGTACATAAATTTAAAAAAAAAACTATCAGAAATGTTGTCAATAATAATGATAATATCGATCTGTAAACTGTTCTACAAAGAGTTACAGTTACGAATTTGGTTCTGTAAATTAAGGTCACTCGTAAGTCTGTACATAGTTAGTTTACAGGTTGTAAATAATACAGGACGTTCTAGCAACACCTAACCTGGTGTACAGATCTGTAAGTGCGCTAACGGTTCTGTAAATAGATACAGAACGTTCGTGTGACCCGGCCTGTATATTATAATATATTAAAAGCAAAATTATCATAATATTAAATTATTAAATATTTCATCGTGTTTGTTTTTTTTTGTTTTTGTTAATTTTGATCTCAATTTTTTGACGCTTGGAACCCATTTTTTTAAAACTCTTATAAGAATAAGATCGTATAAATCTTTTATAAATAAAGATATTTGATGGGTACATGGGGTTTTTTTTTTTGTCGATTCAGCAAACAAATATTTCTTGAAGCGATAACACGATGAAATTAATTTCACAAGATTCCAGTGTGTTAAAATCTGTGTAGTGCGAACTTAATCTCTACCATTTTCACGGTTAAAACAACAATAAGGAAATCGAGATTTTTAAAAACTATAACGCATAACCGTATAATATATAAAACGTTTATTATTGTATACAATATTATAATAAATTCTCAATACAGTTTAAAGCGTCTGTATATTGTTTGGTAAAGTACAAATGATTTTGTGTCTCGAAACCGCTTGTCGCTTAAAATAAGTATATAATAATAATAATAATAATAATAATAATAATAATATTGTTATTATTATTATTATTATTATTATTATTATTATTATTACTATTATGATATATTGAATTGAATTTATAAAACGTTTGTGCGGTTTCCTGACAATCATAATATAATAACGTTAAAAAACGGATATCCTTTGATTATGCTAATTTTGTCACACAACATATATTACCACTTAAGAGAGGGCGATCGTAGTATATTGCAATATAGTGGTTGTTTGAAGGGTAAACTTTTATTTTCCGTGCAGGGTGTCTCGTTTTTTTTTTTGTACAATATTCGGTTGTAACAGAGCCGACGATATTACGTATATACTTACAATATTTTATAGGGATATTCAATTTTAATAAATTCTCTTGTTCGCAAAAGTTAAGACACATCCTGTGTATATACAGCGTATTTATACTATTTCTTGTATAGTAGTGTATAATACTGCGCACAGAAAAAAAAATATACAATGTTTTAGAAGTCGAAAAGCAATTTTATTGCGAGGCGTGGCTTTCTAATGTTCTCCGGGGGGGAAACGCATCGCGTATATATATTTCACGTCATATTTCAAACACGAGATATTTTTCGGTGTGTGTATAACATAATACAGAAGATTATAAACTCGCCGAATGATATAAAATAATATCGATAATCGGAGGGTTACTGCAAGATGAGTAGACGAAAAATCAGCGGTACAGATTCCGTATTTCCGTCGCTTGTGTTTAACATATTAACTGCAGTTTCTAGTATTTTGTTGACATTCTGCAATCGGTTCAATTTAAAATATACTCGTCTTTAATAATTATTAACGGTGAAGTTAATCGAACCTAATCTCCTGAAATATGCAACCAAAAAACGAAAACTACCGATTTTTTTTTAAATTCAAAATTAAATTTTAATTGTATGTTCTCAATACTGTAATTTATACACAAACATTTACTGTACTAGTTTGATTTAGTTTATTTTTATAGGAAAATAAAATAAAAATTAACTTTTTAACCGAGTTTAATACCGTCTTGCACTGAAAATTGTGTTTGTTTATTTTAATTGTTTAACTTAATAGAGTTAATTATTTGTATCAACTTACGTATAGATGCATACAAATTTTCGTTTCAAAAAAAAGTTATAAGTTTAAAGAAAAATACGTAGGAGTTTTATTAAGAAAAGGAAAAAAACGTTAAAAACGGCCGTCGTTGTAAGATTAACGACACGAAATAGAAGAGGCGTTTTTGCGGTTTGATTAGAGCCGGATCAAGTGAAGGGGGAGGGGTAATGAAGTATACTTAAGTAACCTGAGGTATTTTCTTACGATAGCATTTCTTGAAACTGTTTTATTTTTAAACAAACTATACAGAGCGATTCTTTTATCATGAACCAATAATTTTCTCAGAGGATTTTAAATGAGTTTAATTTCTGTTTTTTTTTTTTTTTTCATAATCATTATGGAATTGTTTAAACTTTATTCAACACTATTTTCAATATTTACTTCTACTCTTCATACCTTAAATTAGTATCCAATTTAACCCCCCCCCCATTTTTAATCACAGGTTCAAATAGAGAAGATATTTTTCTAGGCATTTTGAAATGATACTAATATCAAATTATTCAGATTTACCTTTTTGAGTTATAACAGTTTAAAGTTATAACAAGAAATTATAAATTAATCAAAATTGCAATTATTTTGTTAAAATAAAGCTTAAACGATGCAAAATCGGTAAAAAAAAAAATCAAATTCACTTAAAATCCTTCGAAAAAAATGCCGATTCGCGATAAAAAAAAAAAGTAACTTTTTTTAATAACTATTAACTTAAATAGTTAAAAAGACGTCCTAGGATATGTGGGATGGGTGCAGCCACTGTTATAGGTAATTTAATGTATACTTGTAAGCAACGATATAAATTGGCTACATGTAAACTCCTACAAAAATGGTCTTTTTTACCTGTATTTAAAACATAGTGTAAACTTCTAAATAGTTCCTTTTTACTCGCCAAAAATAGATTGTGTAATCTCCTACATAGACCTTTTTACATTTTTGATTCTGAGTATAGTGAGGAATTTATATTGGTTTAACAATAATGTTTATTTGAGATGTTTGCAATTAAGTGGGAAAAAATGTACGGTGTTACGATTTTATTATTTTAAATTGACACGCACGACGTTTTACACCAGAAATAGTTCTCAAATGGAAAAATGATAAGAGATCTTTTTTGTTGCATTTTGGATAAATATTTGTAGAGACTTACGAATGTAAGATAATAAAATGTACAATAGAATTTAGTAAAAATATTAATATAACGCATCGTATCTGAAATTCTTTAACATTTCTATAACGTCTACGTTATTTCCGTAAATTGGAAATAAAACAATCTCTATCTCTTTATTTTTGTAGTTTATGATTGACTTTTACTTATTTTAAAATACCTTATTTTACTTTTTACAATTATCTAGTAAAGATTACTTACTCTTGTAGAAGTTTATCATATCACTATAAACCATTGCTAACGAAAAAACGATTCTGAGCAGAGTTCAGTTAATAGTGATGCTTTGTCAACAATATATATATGCCATATTATAATAAAATAATTAAATAGGTTCTATATAGTTTCTTTAATAATATTTGTACCGATTATCCAAGTTTTTCACATTTTCTGAGAAAACTCCGGGGAAAATGGAAAAACGACCTCTTTAAAGTACCTCCCTAGTGAAATTTCCTTTCAGGAACATTGCTACCATTAAAAGTTGGAGCAAAATTGCAGGTAGAAAAGTTGTCCACAGAAAAAAAAAATCGTAATATTATGTTTCGTAAATATAAACATCTTTGTAAAACCATAAGCTTCTTCGCTCTACTCAAAATCTAAAATCAACCTGTAAATTATATTCTTTTGACACGGATTTATGATAACTGTTAAGTGTCTTTTTGAATTTTTTTTTTTTGAAATTTCTTTATATTGAACCGAATATTTCCAACAATAATATAGTATATCTACACGAGTAAATATTATCCAGTGTATATTTATGTACGTCGTTGTATTTAATTAAAACAAAAAAAAAATATATATATATCATACATATAACGATATAACTGTGTAATTATTATTACCTGAACTTCACTAAGCTTCAACGAATTCGCTATTTCAGATCTTTCGGTCAAGCTTAGGTATTTTTTAGCCTGAAACTCCCGCTCCAATTCCAATAGTTGACTGCTCGTAAATGCTGTTCTTCTGCGGCGAGATTTATTTTCGATCGATTGTCTTGCCGTTTGTTGCGGCTCTACAGTGTCGTGTATGCATTTTCCTGAAAATGCGTTCGAAAGTTTAATATAAAAATAATATAAATACGTGTTTTTAGACAAATGTTATGTGCCTCGTACACATTCTAAAAACGCAGCGCGCTTTGCCGATACACAAATAATGCTCCACTACACTCTACCGACCAACACTTATAAGTGGAATATCTCGTCAACGGATTGACGGAAATTACAAACTTAAACATTTATTTTAACTACTATTCCATCCATTTATGTAATTTTTATTATAGGTTGCTATTTGAAAATCAAAAGTAGGTACTCGTTTCACCTCCAAAAATTAGAGTGAAAAAAAAATAATGTAAATATTTAATTTTAGAACAGCTTGTTTCTTAAATTTTCTTTAAAACAAATTTCGAAATAAAAAAATTAACACTTTCCGAGATAACGAGTGTCTTGCGATAGATTGATCACTCCGTATATTATATATGTACATATATATATATATATATATATATATATATATATATAAACTTTTTGCTCTCTTGTACAACCGTAAGTCCACAATTTTTTTATTATTTTTTTTTTTTTGTGATATCACACATGTTTAGAAATCCTTTTCCAAATGAAAATACTCTGAAGGCTGTATAATGTATAGAGTGTTCTTTTATATATGCTCGACTCATTTTAACGTAAAATTATGTATATAATTCGGAGTTTTGAAATTTTTAAGATCGTAGTTAAAGCAGATATTTTCGAACACTTAGATTTTTCCCAATATTTAAGAAGTATCCAGTGGCGATACTAATTTTGGTTTTCAAACAAGAACCTGTATGTTTTAATGAAAATTGTAAATACGATGTTTGTTCTAAAAATATTAACGTATTTTAATCGAAATTTGAACGAAAAGTTTCTGAGTTATTCTACTTTAAAACACTCAGGAGAACAGTCTAAAAACCATAAGTTGTGTAGCGCTATGGCCAGTGGCGTTTTCTTAAGACTCCATTAATCTCTCTCTCTACCCAAACTTAAAAGTGGAAATATATCATCAGCGGGTTGAAAGAAATCAAGAATATCAACATCAAAATGTATTTAAACTAATATCCCATCTATTTATGGAATCTATGGTCTCGTTTGAAAAACCAAAGTTGATATCGCCACAGGATACTCTTTAAATACTGTGAAAAATCTAGTATTCAAAAATATTAGTTTAAACTACACATAAAAATTCTAAAAATCATAATTCTATAATATGCAAAATTTTACCATACAAATGGTATGAGCGTGCCTAATGAATCACCCTTTATTTTACGCATAGCCACTTTTTCAATATTATTAGATTTACCGACGTAATGTATGTACGAATGTCAAATGTTTTGGAATTTTCGAATAGTTTTTAAGAAAATATTTGCATTTTATTAATTATTATAATATCAAGGTGTGACCCCCGTGATATTTTATTCCCCTGGTGAAGTTTCATTAGACAAATTATATCCCCTTCGTAAACTATGGGTAAAATTTCACTAATGGTTATTGACCACTCCCCTAATATTTTACTGAGGAGGTAAAATATCACTGGAATCAATAGTCCACACCGGTCTGGCACACCGGTATAATATTATAAATTAAGTATCGGTATTAATCCTATGCTTACCGGGACGCGGATCGTCTGACGGATCATCGTCGGGGATCCGGGACGATAAATTGGCAGCGATGGACTTGCCGACGACCGGCGGGCATAACTGCGCTGATGAACGATGATGCTGATCTTCTGGGTCGTCCGATTCCTCCTCGTCCTCGTCATCCTCGTCGTCATCGTCACACCCGAAATACGGTCTGCCGCAGCCACCCCCGTGTCGTGAATTGCTGTTGTAGCGAGGCGGCAGTGGCGGCGTTTGCGGTGGCCGTGGTGCAGGTTGAGGCGCAAGAGGATGCGGTGGCTGAGCCGTGAACGCGGCAACGTCGATCGAGTACGGCCACAACGACCGCGGCGAGAACGTCTTGTCCACGGTGGTCGTAGTCTCCGCGGCAGCAGCCGCGGCCGACTGTAGCTGTAGCACTTTGAAGTAATCAAAGTTCAACGGTGGCGCGGGCGATTCGTGCAACTGTAGCTGTCGCCGTTGCTGTACTGCTGTGTCTAGCATGCCGTTGAACAGCGTGGACAACCACCGGCGCTGATCGAATTCTGTGCCGGCTCCAGCGGCGTCCGCGTGCGGTGATGTCGAGGCCTTGTGACCGTCGTCTGCGGCTTGTGACACTACGGCGGACGACGGCAACATCGTCGCGTCGTGATACGTCCGCGGGTACGGTACTCCCGACGACGACGGACACCCGGTCGGGTTGACGGCAGCCGTGGTCGCGACTCGAGGCGGAGGAGATTCGGCGGACGGTCTAACGCCACCGCCGCCGATCAACGATTCTATGGAAAACGACTGGGACGCCGTTTGGTACTTGCTCATTGCCACCGCCGACCAACAATGTACGCGGCGTTTAGTCGTTTGGTACGATTCTATGAGCACGCAGGTTTTTCGGTCAATATCATAGGCTGATTTTCTAAAATACAACGACCGACAAATTAATTGAAAATCACAATATCGTAATTTTAGGTTTGAATCAATTTTAGTGTTGATATTTTTGATTTCCGTTGATCCGTTGACGAGATATTCCACTTTTAAGTAGTAGAGTAGTGGAGTACTATTTGTGTGGCGGTATGGCGTACGATGTGTTATTAATCAACCACTTCTGTCCTCCAACCCAAACTTAAAAGTGAAATATCTCGTAAACGGTTTGATAGAAATAAGAAATTTCAACACTAAAATTTATTTTAATTAATACTCCATCTATTTATGGACTCTTTAAAATAGGTTGTCATTTGAAAATCAAAAGTAGGTAGTTTTACCCTCAAAAAGAAGGGTGACAAAAAATAACATAAATATAATATTGTAGAGTAGATTGTTTCTTAAATGTTTTAGAAAACAAATTCCGGAAAAAGTTAATATTTTCCGAGATAATAAGTGTACCCATTTAAATGAATCATCTGGTATTGTGTAACTGTACAATTTTACATTTTAATAAATAGTAGGCCAAACGCAAAATGAATCCGTTTTCCAAAAAAAAAAAAAAAAAACACTTTGTACCATGAGTAGGTCACTCATGTGAGTGATTAATTTTAAATAGGATTTTAAGGTAATTATAAGTTAATGTACTGAAAACATCGATAAATCGTCGCAATCAAAAACATATTCTGAACAGAGCTCGTAAACATTTGGTTATATTATAGTATTAGCTGTGTTTTCTTGTCTTGTATATAGCTAAATAGAGGTACCTAAATGGAAATCAATAATGCAGTGGTGTAGTGACCGTGTTTATTAACTACATGTATATAATACAATTTTGCAAGATAATTATTTTATAATATGGCTATACCCCTATATGTTAACGTAACCATATCAATATATAAATTAGACAATAATGATCGTGTTTTATAAAAAATTTTTCTAGACGTGGTAAAATTTTCAATAAACTTAAGCCGTTTTGAACTATTAAAAGGCATTTTACATTTTAGAGTTTTTATTTAGTAGGTAACTTTAGGCAGTTAAAATTGTTTAATTACAAACAGAAATTCTAGAAAATTGAACACAAAATTCTTTATATTAAGTTGTATTTAGTGGTAAAAAAACTTGAGCGTAATGAAGAAGATTTTTTTATACCTAATCATTGTAAGATTAAATTTTTACAAAAATCTTAAATATTATACAGCATTTCAAAACATGTATAACGGAACTTCGATCAAAATCGTTTTTCATTAGCAATGGTTTATCGTTGCTTATAAATATGCAGCGCTAATATATAGCGCACCGGCCAAGAGACTAAAATCGAGACGCCCGATCTGGTCCACGGAAAATATTACCGACAGGGAGGAGGATATTTGAAAGAAAAACAAAAGTTCAAAATGAGCATCTTATAAGTGATCTTACCCAAAGAGTTTCAGGTTTTGACTGTCCTAGAGCTATATGGACCTATCTAAATAAAATATGAACGGAACAAAGGAGATCTGCAGATACTTTATAGAGGTCGTTTTTTGATTTTCTCATTAATTTTCCCAATAAATGGGAAATCAGGAAAAAAAACCACGGGAAAACCGTAGGAAAAACGGGAAAATAGGTATACTATTGAACAAATATTTTTAAAGAATATATATTGCCTATGCAATTATTTTACCATGATATGACATATATATTGTTGACAAAGCATCTATACTATCAACTAAACTTCGCTCGGAATCATTTTTTCGTTAGCAATGGTTAATCGTTGCTAACAGATATACATTAAATTATCTATAACAAAAACGGCAGCCATCCCCATTATCCTAGGATAGCTTTTTTTTAAATTGAAATCAATTTCAATTTTAGCTATGGAACACTAGAAATACCTACTTAACTATCTAAATTTCTTAATTTTATAAGTACCTGAAATGAAGAATAACAATATTTAATTTTTTTTTTTTTAAATTTTAATCACATTTAGGTTTATTCAATTTTAATTTTTTACTTTTAAACAAATCGAACAATATTGTTGAACTATATCTACTACGTTTTGGTAATAATCAGTTAAGATTCTCTTTTATATTGTTTACTAAAACTTGAATACTGTGTGTATGATACTTTTGATTTTTGGCAACCCCCTCTCCCAACTACCACCACTTGGAATCCCTAGGTTGAAAACCACTTAATATAAGTAAAGAAAAATTCCGTATGGAATCGTAAGCTACCCGTAAACAGATAACAACAGCAACGTTTCGATATATTCGGGCAGCCAAACACAAACGTAATAGTGGAAAAAGGTACATACGAAATAATTACGTACGGAATCGTAAACTAAACGTAGTTTTTTTATAATTTACTCACAAATCGTATAGACGAACATCACGGGGAACGTAATAATAACAAGAACGCTATGTTATCGGTCTCGTATATTACTCTGATGAATCGCACAGGTCTGGTGATCCTTAATGTTTTTTCGCCACTCTATTATTGTGATTCGCAAAACAATAAACCGGAACGTGCGTATACATTTTTTTACGTTAGTAAAAGTATTTAACGTGCCAAATCGTACCGCAGTGTACCTACACACGTAAATAAAAATTTATAATATTCCGAGTAAGTCCGACGAACGGTAGCGGCGTAAACTTTAAAATTTTGTTGCTTATAGTGAAAAGTTTAACGGCGTAAATAACGCTATGATTATAATTGGCGGCATTGAAAAATTCGCGTGAAAAGTCCAAGGATATTTGCGCTAAAAACAATATTCCCGCTAGTATAATGTGTACATAGACGGTATATAACACGAATCGCGATTTCGCGATCGCCGGCCGAAGTTCGGAAACGTCACTGAGACGCGTGTGATGGTGCAGACGACTTCCGAGCGGAATTTTCACGAAACGAGACGGCGGGCCAGCCCACGCCCATGCGGCACGCACCGCCCTCGGTCATTGGTCGGTCGTAATAACCCAATCGTCAACAATTTCCGCGGCCTCACCGGAGCCGGGAGACAGCACTGCTAATCGCCGGTAACAATAGAGAGAACCCCCCCCCCCTCCACGTAAGAAAGTTTATCGAAAATCGCCTTAAAAAATCGTAATTGCCATTTATATTGTTAACCCAACTACAATTAAAAATATGTTATAATTGTATTTATTACCGACTTGCAGCAGTTGAAGGTTTCTTAAACATTAAAATAATTTGTACGTTGATAAATCGTAATACCTAGTTATTATACTCGCAATTGTATCAAATTAAACGAACGACACTCATTATTATTGTATAATCAATACGTTGATTAGATATATTTATAACCCGGTAGGAAAATATCCAAAAACCGATTTTTTTTTTTTTTTTTGTAAACGCATATAAGCCAATTTTATCTATTTGGTTTTGTTTTATTTTTTTTTACTAACCAATTTAAGAAAAATCTATAGAATTAAAAAAAAAAAATTAGTTTTGCCTCTCATGATGAAAACGCTGCATTCGATTGAAACGTTCCTATGTGTCTAAACCAATGGTTAATTATCGGAAATACATCTTATGTTTAAGGTAGTATAAATCACGATGGGATCAAATCACGCATGTACCCTAATACCATGTGATAAAAAAAAAAAAAAAAAAAAAAAAAAACGCCTGCAAATAATGAAAACAAAACATAGAATATATTATTATTCTCAAATACCAATTCGACCACTTTTCCAGGATACATCTCTGTAAAGTTTTTAGAAATTGAGGGTCAAAAATATATGCCTCCCATGGGAGTAGAAAAAATTCTGGTTACGTGACTGTAGCGGGGAGTCCAAATGACGATATTTGTAGAATTTTTTTTTCTTTGAAACCCCAAAGCATCGTTTTTTTTTTGCTAACTTTTAGAATATTCACATATATGTTTAAAAATAAAAATACTCTATAATTTTATTTCCGAAAAGTTCCTCATATTACACGCAATGACAAATTGTAAATGAAAATGACAATGAAAAATATTGCTTTCTCCCTATGAATCCCATATCCCTCAAGTATGTACATCCCTGAATAAAGTTAAGGTATATACTTCAAGTAAAAATAATCCACCGCATGTGTTTGAAATGTATTATTCATAAAATCATACATGTATCGATATATATTTACATAAACATTAATCGTGTTTGTTTAATATGCGATTTAATAATAATAATAATAATTTGGTTTTGAACTTTTTTAATTTGTTTCATAATTACTCCAACAAGTTATTTTATTGTTGTCGAACAGGAATACAAAAGCAATAATAAGTTTAAGACTTTTAGTTTATGAATGGCGGTTATTAATGTTTCGAAAATGTCTAATGACTCGTATGATACTGAGTGACACGATTTAAATACATAAATGTGACAAATTTACTTAGCAAAGTATCCTCTTCAAAATTATACCAATGATAATCAAATTATCATCGACACCAGAATTAAATGCATTTATATGTTTGGACTAATAGTGTACCTATGTTCTATAAGGATAGTGATGAGGTTTCGAATTGAACAGATTTAGTATATATACATAATTATTTACTTTGCATATTAATGGTGTGTAATATACTTGAAGGTTTAATGCATAATATATTATAACTTGCATATTTTATAAAAATTTAATAAATAATATTAAACTGTTTACATTTTTTTATAAATAGCATACCTATATCCAGGAGCGTGCCCAGGGGTGGTTTTGGGGGATCAAACCATCCCCAAATTGACTTTTTAAATTTTTTAATAAAATAATAAACATGTGTGATGATATATTATATCCAAATATAAAAAAAAAAAAAAATGCTTGATTATCATAATTACACTTAGTATCAACTGCGATTTTCAAATTTACTTAGCATAAAACATACTTGAAATTAACTACCTGTGAAAACCTACTCACGGGAGTAGCTCTTCATAATGACATACTAGTAAACTAGACAAAATAATTTCAAAATTTGTCTCATCTTCAAACAGAATGGACTTAGTTTTATAATTTTTTTTCAACTCTGATTAAGTTATTATTATTATTTTTTTTTATACACAGTAGATAAATACTACCTAGTATAAACTATGAAGAATATTTTGTAAAACTATTGGTTTCTAAAAATATTTTTTTTTATCATTATTTTGTACACTTCATACGTGCTAATTTTATTATTTAGTTATAACTTTATAAGGTTAACTCTTAATAATTTATCTATAATATTTAACAGTAATATAAAAAGATTACGGTTTTTTTTGTATACACTCGTACAGATTTTTACCTACTAATTTTAACGATTTAGTTGTAAATTTGATACTAATGTTAAAAAATTAAAACCACCCCCAAAACAAAATCTTGGGCACGCCTCTGACTATACCTAATAATCACGTGTATAATTAGTGACGATAGAGTACCTTAGATTTTTCAATGGGAAACATACTAAATGAAAATTAAATATAATAATGCAAGTTCAAATATTCTTATAATATCTACAGAATGTACCATGAAGATATACCCATCAAATTATTTTTTTTCTAGACTATTTGCAAAAATAAGAACTATACATATTTAAGTTTTTTACCAAAATACAACAATTTAATCAAAATATAAATATTTGTAGTCCTTATCTCTGTGCGATATAGGTATACAAAAAAAGACGGAGGTACTTCGCCCATAGGATGGCGGCCCAAGGGTGGATAGGCCAATCGGGAAATCAGAATTTTCCCGGTAGGCCTCATCAATATTACATTCAGAGACTCAATAGGCCCCAATGGCTCAATCCCAACAAATTTAAAAAAAAAATTGTATTTTGTATAATACTAGTGTACCAACTAACGGCTGTACAGTATTAATGCACATTTGTAATATTTGTATACTCCATTAGGGACCTCTGTATAATACGCGTTGATACCTGTATACAGGCGTGTAGGTATCCAGAATTTTAATTCGGGTAAGACTGACTAAAATTCATAAATATTGTCATACAGTAAATTAAAAATTGCTGTTGTCCTAGGATAATGGGAACGGGTTATTATCACGCTGCGCACCGTACCGCCACACAAATGATACTCCATTACTCTCCTCCAACCAAAACTTAAAAGTGGAATGTCTCGTCAATGGATAGACGGAAATCAAAAATTTCACACTAAATTTTATATTGACTAATACTTCATTTATTTATGAAATTATTAATATAGGTCGCCAATTGAAATTCAAAAGTAGATTGTGGTTTACCTCCCCCCCTCCCCCTAACAAAAAGGGTGATCAAAAGGGGGAAAACAAATTCCAACTTAAATCATCTTGTATATATAGCGATGTTATATTGTGGTAAAATAATTACATTTTATGCATTAATAATATGTTTAATATAATTAATCATACCATTAATAATATATTTTTTTTTACTTTAATAATATTTGTTTATTATTGTACCTATTTTCCCGTTTTTCCCATTTATTTTGAAAAATCCTAGGAAAATAAAAACATGACTTTTCTAAAGTACCTCCCCAGTCATATTTCATTTAAGAAAAAGTGCTATCATTGTAAATCAGAGCAAAATTGCTGGTTGAAAAGTTGTTTACAGAAAAAAAAAAATATCGTAATATTATTGTTAATACTAGTATTTATGGTAATATTTTACTAATATATTTAGTATATTTTTTCGTTTTTTTGATTTTTCACATTTGTTTAGATAACTGATAAAATAAAACAATGTCCTCCTAAAAGTACGTTCCTACACCGATTTCCTTTCAGAAAAGGTGCTACACTTAAAAATTGGAGCAAAATCTCTGATAGAAAAGTTAATCACAAGTAAAAAAAAATAAAAATATTTTTTAGATTCTGAGTGAAGCGAAGATATTAAACACGGGAAAACCGGGGAGAAAGTAGGAAAATTGGGAAAATCGATATTACATTTAACAAATATTATTAAAGAAAATATATTACTATAAAATGACATATACTTATGTTGTTGACAAATGATCAGACAAATCTAAACTCCGCTCAGAATCGTTTTTTCTTAAACAATGATTTATCGTCGCTTACATTGAATTATCTAGATAACAGTGGCTGCACCTGTGCCCATTATCTTAGGACGTCTTTTTTTTAACAATTGATTGTGTAGTTTATATATATATATATATATATTATATGATTTAATTATTAATATTATTGCATGTGAAACTATCATTTATTTTTTATTTTTTATATATATGTATAGGCTCTACTTATATGTGGTCTTAATAAATATATGCCGGTGAAAAAAAAGTACCTTTCCGCCTATGGGTAGACCACTATTATAGTTGAGAAGGTAGTAGATAAGAAATGTATATCTGTAAGCAATTGTAAACTATTGCTCACGATAAAATAATTCTGAGCGGAGTTCAGTTGATAGTGTTGCTTTATCCACAAAATTATAAATAACATATTATTAATTACCTGCTTAAAGTAACCCCCTCAGTCCGATTTGCTTTCAAAAACAAAATGCTATCATTATGAATCGGAGCAAAATTGCTAGTAGAAAAGCTTTTCACAGAAAAAAAAAATATGGAAAAAAAAGGAAAAATGTACAAAATTTTATTTAAATCGTATATTTTAATATGTATAATCGTATATTTATTTATGATATTCCCGAACATTTTAAAACCCAATTTCGCCAATGATTTATCGTTGCATACAAAAATAAAATAAATTTTTACTCACTCTATGTTATCCAACTTTCCTATCTTATTTCCACCTATCAGTACCTAACAGTAGCACATTCATAAAAATGTCAGATGTTTATTTATTTATTTTTTTTTTTTTATATCTATGTAGAACACTTTTTCTACCAAAAAACTTTCTCTGATGTATACGACGTAGACCCTTATTTGAAATGAAATAAGTGTACTTTAATTAAGTTATTTTTCGATTTTGTCAGAAATTTTCTCGTTAAACGTGAAAAACCAGGATAAAACATGGGAAAACCGGGAAAAACGTAGGAAAACTGGGAAAATTGATACAACAATTAACAAATATTATTAAAGAAAACATTTTAAACAAATATGTTTAAAGAAAATATATAAAGCCTATACAATTATTTTACTATAATATGACATATATATTGTTGACACAGCATCAATATCAACAGAACTCCGCTCAGAATTGTTTTTTCATAAGAAATGGTTTATCGTTGCTTGCATGCATACATTAAAGTATCTATAACAGTGGCCGCACCCGTCCCCATTATCCTAGGACGTCTTTTCCTGTACACGTATACTATACACGTGTCGTGTTTACCGGATAATACGTTAAAAATTGAGCACTATATTTGATTTGTGTATTGAACGTCACTCTTTCGTGTCTTCCTGGCTCCTGAACTTAGCTGAATAATACTTAGCATTTGGAGCCATACGACCTTATATATCCTTATAGATACGAGCTTTATTATTGTATTTATAAATTTATTGTATAATTATTATTCGTGTAATATTAATTAAAAAAATGAAATTAATTAAGAATTTATAAATGATAAAAAATGATTTCTAATAATAACAACAATGCATTCCTTTTACAATATTAACACTTTACGTATTTATCAAAAAAATTATACAATCATAATTTTTATTTATAAATTAAAATAAATGACATTATTGAATTAATTATAACCACACACACATGTTCTCACGTGTATGCGTGATGTAAATGTTCGGGATAATTATATTATATTCTATGATATTTAGCTATTTTGTCAATTGAACATATTATATTGATCTATATATTCGATTTGGGCAAACTCATTGAAGACTTCGCTGGGAAATAAGCTAGATAAATTTCCACCTAAATGTGATTAATATCATGTACCTATATTTAACATAGTAAACATTATTATATCACTTATAATTGTTACATACATACATACATACATACATTTATATTTTAAAAGGTATTGATTTAAATAAAATCAACCAGCGTTTATAAAATTATTATGTAGCAAAAAAACACTCATTTTATTGTAATTTTTGAACAGTTTTTAGCTTTGAGTTATCAATATAATTTATAGATCTCGTAAGGATGCATTTTGAAGTTATACATTATTCGGTTGCTACGGCTCTGACTGTGGCCCATCGTGCAAAATATATCCGTATCTTTTTTCTTCAGGATATTTTATTTATAAAATTATTTTGAACTTTTTTTCTGTTTTACGAGAACAAGCTTTTAAACTAATTTCATAATGATCACACAATACTTAGTTTACTTGTTGGTATGTGGCAATTTGTAACTTTATTTGAAAGTGAATTTGAATAATTTTGTTGTTTACGTGTTATACGCAATCCTTTTAGTACTATGATATAATGGATTACGATAAGTCATAGTTTTTAACTGACGTCGGAAAGCTCGTAGGCCAGTTTGGACGCTTGATGCCCAAATTATGAAAGAAGTGTATACTGACAAACAAAACATTTTCCTACTAAAAGAAAAGCCAGTAATAAATTTGAAATTTATAATATCTTAAATTATCTTGAATTTTACATTAAATGTTATGGATTTTGCTGAAATAAATAGTACTCAATTATAATTTTGTCAGTCGATTTCAGTGGGGACTGAATATCGAATGTTCGGACGAATATTCGATCTAGAAACCTGAAACAAATTCACATTATAAATTTAAAAAAATTGAGATGGATAAATAACATAGTTATTTAATTCATATCTATAGGCAGTAATGATTTAATTACTGACAAATTACGATTATGAGCGAAGTTCGGTTAATGTTTTGAAATACCATGATTTATAAAGATTTTCGACGTACTTAATTTGAAACTAAAAAAATACTATCAAATTACATGCATTGTTTTTTTTTATTATTATTTACCATTAAGAGTAACTTATGTTGAACCTCGTGAAAAATTATCAAGAACTTATAATGGACCAAAACAATATTATCAACATAAAACTAAATATAAACTATAAAAACTTGTAATTATTGTCAATTAGGTACCAATATTTATGTCCAATATTTATAGTTCAAAAATCATCCGATATTATAATACTTTGAACATGTTACGACTTCTAAAAAAGGTATTTACTATTTTGTGAGAATTTCAGATCTTTGCGATAATTTTAAATCAAATTTAAATAAAAAAAGGTAAGATAATGGGGATGGGTAAAGCTACTGGTGTAGGTGGAAAGTCGGGAAAGTAGGATACAGATGGGAATTTAATGTAAGTAACGATAGGCCAATGCTTAAGAAAAAAACGATTCTGGGAGGAACTCAGTTGATAATGATGCTTTGTAACTTAACTTTAATTTCTTATATTTTCCCGTTTTTTTTTTTTTTTTTTGGTTTTACAAATTTCATGATACAACTCATGAGAAAATCGAAAAATGACCTTTTTTTAAGTATCTCCCCTACACCTATTTTCTTTCAGAAAAGATGTTACACTTAAAAATTCGAACAAGTCTGTTGGTAGAAACGTTGTTTACAGATAAAAAAAAAATAAAATAAACATCTTTGTAAGACCATAAGCTTTTTTGCTCCACTCAGAATCTAAAATCTAAAATAATAAAATAGTCTTATTTCCGTAAACTTTTCAAATTTTTTCTTTGTTTTATAATTAAAAAACATTAAGGAAAATTAAAAATTGATTTATCTTTTGCATCAATTAGATCTTATAACTGTTTTGATTGTTATTAATCTCTATAGAAAAGTTGTACTCAACCACACACATGAGACACAAATGCCGTGATTTTGTAGTTTTCGTCAAAATTTGAACTTAAATTATTTTAAAAACTTTTTATGTTTTTCCTAATTTTTATGGAGGGGGTTTTTCCCAGTCATGAATACTACAATACTACTGGATAAACTAAACAAATTTTCTTTCAGAAAATATTCTACTCTTGAGTTTCAGAACAAGATTCTGGTAGAAAAATGATATTTTAAGAATCCAAAATAATGAAACTTGTATTGTCTCAAATTCGTCCGTTTTTTCCAACATTTCTTTATTATTTTGTAAACTACACGTTGAACGTGATTAAGCTGTCAAATAATTTTGCCTACAAATACATATTTAATTCATACCGTATTTTAGCCAACAAATATTTTGCTGGAACCTTATTTAAGCGAATAATCCAATCATAGATAATTATAGATAGAGATACGCGGTCTTAGAACATAAGGCCGGATTACTTTTTTTTACGCGCGCTCACTGTCAATGTCTCGCTTATTTTTCGACTAAAATACAATTTGGATAAAATATTTTTCAGATTAAATATTAATTGTCGGCTTAAATACTGTTGGCTTGAAATACAGTTTGAACGAAATATGTGTCGGCTAATGTACGGTTATTTTGAAATACGGATTTGATTAAAATATTCGTCAACTTAAATACTGTCGGATAATATTTTCTTCTAAAATACAGCACTTCAACTGCTCGAAAAATATTCGAAAAAATAATGAAATTAATTTTACGAAGTGTTTACGTTTTTTATTCTTGAGCGATTCGTTCACTTTTCTCATGGCATCTTCCGCTTTGTTGACAACGTAGTTGAACGATTTTGTCGCTTCTGTAACATGTAACGGTATATCTAAAAGTCTGAAACAAATAAGTATTGTAATAGAATCGAGTAACGGATTACAAATACGATTGTAATTTATTTATACTTGTTTATGCCGTTCATTATTGGCAAGCGTTCAACGACTAAAAAATTACAAACCATTACGAATTAGTTAATGTTATATTATTATTTGATAGAAATAAATTTACCCAGTTGGTCTATGAAATAATCTTTGTACGAGTCTCCAGTTTTTTCCGAGATACTCATCCCCAAAGTACTTATCGATAACCGTTCGTATTGTGCGGGTGTTAAAACATGAGCGTCCGATGAATTTTTTTTAAATGTATCCAAGTACTTACAGCCATCCTCTTCATTTTTAACCGGGCAATTTCCGTATCGAACGGTCTGCGTCTCATCTAATCCCGCAAGTTGTCTAGATGGCTGACACTTAAATTCTGAATTTTTTGCTCGTGTGCATTCCTTCTCCATTGTTTCGGCTATAACCAGAAAAAATTCTAAAATTAATATACTGATAATAAAAGTCGAGCCAAATACTACAATATCATGTTCACAGACCATTTTGCTTGGTGCACTCCAATTTCTTGAGAATTCCTTCCAAAAACTCTGATTTAGCATACAAATGAAAATTGGATGGATACAGTTTATCGAACGCCCTGACCGCTTCTTCGTCTATTTCTAATTGCGTTTTATCGTGTTCGTGTACCAACCTGTAGAAACAATTATAACCGTTTAAGCGTAAACTATATATTAAATGATTTTCATATTTATTTCTTACAAAAAAACAGTAATAATTTGCGTATAATTATTAAAAATTACATCAATCATAATCATTCTTTATGATATCTACATAATATTTGTGTAATACACCAAATCTGGTACACTTTCATAATTTTTAATACTAATTTTGTTTGATAAGTAATTAACCAAATTATCTTCTTTTTTTTTATCACAATTTGCTGATTATTTATCAATTATCTCTTATATTTATAATAGATATTTAGGTCTAGTTGCACAAACTTTCTGTAACAACTTACAGATCTGTAAACCAGATTGGGTGTTGCTGAAACATTCTGCAGTGTTATTTATAGACCTGCAAGTGACTATAACTTACACAACCAGATTCGTATTTACAAATCGATATTATCATTGTATCAATGTTAATGCCGAAATTTCTGATAGTTTTTTTTTTATATTTGTGTGTTACTAAATTTTTAATTTAACTTAACTTAAATCGAAACTAAAATTGTAACTAACTTATATTATGGACTTTGTATTCATATCGTCATCAAGTGATGATGAGTTTATTATCAAGGGTATGACTTTATTACCGAAGTTAAGATGTATAAGGAATTTCTATTATTTTTTATGTATTCTTTTTTAGGCAGTGTTATAAAATGTAGTGATTAATTTGTTTTGATTAAATTGATATTTTTATAACATGGAGCTATTTTACTGAGTAACAAAATACAAATTAAAAACAAAGTCAAATTAACAAGATAAACATTAATTTTTTTTTTAGTGCAGATGTCACAATTTTATCAGTCATCATAATAGTTCAGAGCACATGCGGTAAGATTAGATTAGGTTACTCAGGTACCTAACTGTGGTTCAGGGTCATCAAATATAAATGGTTTAGTTTATTCAGTAACCATCATTTTATTTTAATTTACAAATTCTTTTGTGCAACACTATTACATGTTAGAGAGCAATTATAAATTATAGAAGTCTGTAAAAATAATTGTACAGACCATTTATACCCTGAACATATATCTTTACACACAACATTGCAAATATAATACTACATAGTTGTAGGTACTACTTATATTATGTAACATCTACCCCATGCCGATTAAATGCCATATCTGGGTTACAAAATAATAATAGTATACAAAATAATAGTTACCAATCGATACATAAATCAGATCCGGGTATAGTGTCTCCCGTCAATACACTATTTTCACTCCATTTGAATTTTGCCTCTTCGACGTAAAGATTTTCCTGCGCCGTGTCAAGTATTTTACAGTAATCCGGCTTAGGCTTGTCTAGCCTATGATATGATTATTACACGGTTAAAAAAAATATACAAGTAAAACAAATAGGATTCACACTCATTAATTTCAATTTTTTTTTTACCCTTCTTCGTCGATGTCTATCAAAGATGGTCTTCTAATACTTTTGACGTTCGTAATCCTATAAATAGATCAATGTTGTATTAATTATTATTATATTAGGTACTAATACACCACAGAGATGGGCAAGATATTTTAAAATTAGTGTTTATAGGTACTCGATAGAATATACATTTAAATTAAATCATATTCAATGTTATACTGAATCTGTAAGTATCGTGCCGGCAGTGTTATAACATGTTTTATCAAAAATTTGAACTTCAAAAACCAAAAATAGCTGTTACTACTGACGTGTTTTCTATTATTTTAGATGGGAAACTGGGAAGGGGATAATTAAATTATTTAGTTTATATCTTTACGCAACGATAAATCAATGCTAACAAAGAATATTTGGTAAAACATGTTTTTAAATTCCGTGATTTTATAATTTTCGTCAAGATTTGAGTACGCTTACATAAAAAAATGCTATATTGCGCTTAATTTTTTTGACCATCAAATACAACGTATGATGTACAATTTTTTAGCATTTATGCTGGGTGAAAACAATTTTATGCACATAAAATCAAATAAAAACTAAACAAATTCGAAAGTGTCAAGTACCTATAAAATAGTTTTAAAAAATCGACAGAATGTTTTGAAAAGTTTACCAAAAGTTTATTCTTTATAAATGTTAGGTCTCTAACAGTTATTTGAAACTGAATTACAACAAAAAAAATAATAATTAACAATAAATAATGCTGTTAGTCCTGTACATTTAATAAAAAGATTGTTGATAAACACAAAAAAAAAACATCCAAGTAAAACATTCCACACTATGCTCAGTCAAAAAAAAAATTGTAACAACGAAAATTCATATTCTTTTTATCATTTGATATTTATAATGTAGATGTTCAATTGTTAAGTTATTTTTATAGAGAAAAAAATATTATCTACCTTATAATCGAGAAAACGCTTGATATTTTCAATTATTGTCTATAATAATAATATGGTGACTAACTGACAACTATCATAATTTACTTTTTTTAAATTTATAAATACAGATTTTTCTAAGAAAGCCAGTTATAAGTGAATTGGTAATACATTAACCTATGGTCCTCCGGCTAATGATGGTGCTTATAAATAACATGCATTTATGGGAAAAATTATTAAATATAATTTAATAATAGGTAACCAAACAGTGAAAAGTCCAATTAAAAATTACTGATAAATTATGAAATATAAAGAACTATTTTAAAAAATAAAATGTATAATAATATTACATTAGATATAAATATATTAATAGTTCACTAATATTTTGTATATATGCGTGAATAAAAAATTAGAGTTAATTTAAAAAAAAACTTTTCACATCTTTCATCGTTGAAAATAATTATGTAAACGTCATTAGATTAAAAAAGTTGATCGCGATACAATCAACGCACCTACTGCCCAACCCACGCATTATATTGGTAGACATGACGAAATAGATATGTATGATCAATTTAATATGCTTGCCACTCTAAAATATTTTTTTCCCTTCACTTATATATCGTAATTTTCCATTTCTTATTGGTTAAAGTTTCATCGCCACTATTACCGGTCAATCGACTGACCAACCGAATAACCAGAAGTGAAGAGCTACGACACATGTTTGATTTGAAGGAAGTACGCATACCGAACGATAATGTCACGATACTCTCTCATATACCTATCTATTTGATTATGATGTAGAGTACCTCGAGGCAGCGGAGGGATCGGCGTTCGATTTGCGGATGCCGGCTAGGGACCTTTCCCAGTCCAGCGGTATGGCGTGAATCGGTTTGGGTGGTGCTATCGATAGCGAGTTGTACTTGAAACGCCATTCGTATAGAGGATCATCGGACTGCGCGTAATAGCATTGCATACCAACCTTGGGTATCGTTTGGTAAGCCGCAAACTGGCGTTTATCGTCCGAAACCGCGGTCACAACCGGCGGGTTCGGGACGGTCAGCTGGAAAGTACGGTTGTTAAAAAATATATCCCTGGCTATTGTACTCCAATCGCTGCCTTCAAAAGGGTCGATCCTGGCTGGCGGGTACTCGTTGAAAGGGTACACTTGCTCCGGATGGTCAAGTCCCATGATGAGCATCTTGATGTAGTTATACTTCAGCTCCATGTTCGTATGATTCCGCAGTACCTCCAGCCACCTTGAGTATTTCGCAATGACTGCCGGCAAACATGTTTTAAAATATTTATTGATATCATTTGCCTCTATAGAATAGTATCACCTAATAGATAGTTATGACTTTTTGATTACGAGAAAATAAATAATACTACCGTTCATTTTAATTTTAGTGTTACAATGTGAAAATTATACTACTGATAACTAATAATATGAAAGCTATAATTTACTTCAATAAATTGTGTACTGAAATAAATAATACAAAATAATAACAAACTTTATCAAATTTAATAATTATTTATTAAAATATGTATTTGTAACTTATATAATAATGAATTGTATAATATTGAAAAAATCTAATTTCAACTAATTTTGCCTAAATATTTATTTTATTTTATTTATTTCCCTGTTCTCGTATTGACAAAACAATTCTTAACTATAATAATAATAATAAAAAAAGTAAAATATAGATTCAGATTTTACTCTATCTCAGTCCTACGTTAAACAGTTTAAACATCGATAAATATATTCTTAGGTCATTAAATATATTATCAATCATAATGCCTTTAATAATTAAATCGATAACTGTAATTCACATATTACAAACAAATTGATGATAATCATAATATAGTCTAGACAATTTGATGCACAGGGCTGATAAACACTCGGTACCCTGGAGCTTTCTGCTTACCCTGTGTACTCGCTCCCATAGGAGAAATAGTATAGTAAAAAAAAAACCAGAGCAGCCACTGGTGTATGTGGGAAGTTGAGAAGGTAGGATATAGATAGGAATTCAATGTATATCTGTAAGCAACGATAAAATATTGCTTACGAAAAAACAATTTTGAGCGGAGTTTAGTTGATAGTGATACTTTGTCAATAATATCATTTTATAATAAAATAATAAAATAATCTTTATATATTTTCTTTAATAAAAATTATTTAATGTACCGATTTTCTCAGTTTTTTTTTTACATTTTTCCCGGTTTTCCCATGTTTTATCCCAGTTTTTTCACATTTTCTGGGAAAACTCTTGGGAAAATCAAAAAAATAACCGCTTTAAGGTTTACACCTTTACACCGATTTCCTTTTAGAAAAGTTGCTACATGTAAAAATCGGAGCAATTCTTCGGGTAGAAAAGTTGTCCACAGAAAAAAAAAATAAACATCGTTGTAATACCATAAGCTTCTTTGCTCCACTCAGAATCTAAAATAAACGGACATACTTCCCACGGGGGGCCCACTGTTGTAGGTAAGAAGTTGGGAAGGTTTAGGGGAAATTGAAAATATATATGTACACTATGATTAATCTTGGCTAACGAAAAACGATTCTGAGCGGAGTTCAATTATACATGTTTTTAAGGCCGTAATATTTACGATTTAAAAATAATACATTTCGTAAATATTCCCGTTTTTTCCTACATTTTTCCTATTTATTATGAAAACTGCAGGGAAAATCCAAAAATGATCTACTTGAAGTACCACTCTAGTTCGATTTCCTTTCAGAAAAAGTAAGACGCTAGAAAATCGAAGCAAAATTTCTGGTAGAAAAGTTGTTCATAGAACAAAAAAAATACAAAATAAACATCATTGTAAAACCAATATATTCCTCGTTCCCTTCAGAATCTAAAAAAATATAAATATACTTAAGTCTGCCGGGTATAATCGGGTTAGGTTTTTTCGATCATCAGTCAAAAAAGTTTTTAAAATATACTTACATAGGTAAATTTATAATTAACGAATGTTTTTTTTTCTTATTCATGATACTCACTTGTCCCTCGCCCCTTTTAGATCCTGCACTAGTAATACTTTAGCTTTCTAACAAAAATAAACTTCCATGAAAAAATGTACTTTTAAAAAATTTAGAACTCATCACATTTAAAATTCACAGAATGTTGAATATTTATTCAATATATTAACAAGTCTCAAAAACTACTCTTGACAAAAACTACTCAAAATTTAATTGTAAGTTCTGGAGATAATTTTCGGAAAAATGATTACGTTTCTACAATAATCAAAACTATATAATATATAGTACACTAATAAAAGTTACTTCTTGTTAACGTACTATATTATAATTAACACTAAGTTTTACTAACCATCTGTATCGACTTCACGAAGAATTTTCGACTTGACTAAACGAGCAAATAAATCGAATTTTCCAGTAATATTCAATGGCTTATCATCGACTTGTGGTTTAGTAGTTTTTGAGTTTGACATTTTAAAAATGTAATTTGTGAGTGTGTTGAATTTTTAAAACGAATAAATACAATTTTATTAAAAAAAAAATTAGAGTTTATTGAATTAATAATATGTGCGATGTAAAATGTCACCTTGGTAAGTTTAGTGATAATAATAATAATAATATGGGTAATCATTGTGTGTACCAACTGGCCAACATAAACATTTATTATACAATTTTAAATATAATAAGTTATAATATTTAAATATACCTCTAGTTTATAAGATATAACTATAACCAATAAATAAAATATGTATTTTTTCAAATTTTCCCAATTGCTATGTAGTAAAACAGTAGTGTTATTAAGCAGAACGATCAGTTTATCGTAATCCAGCGATTTTCTCGAAGAATTTAAATGAATTTGATTTTTTTTTTTTATATTTATAAGAACTGTTCATACTTTATTTAAACAATATTTTTTTAAATGTTACCCCTTTGTTTTGTACTTGTAACGAGTATACATTTTGGATTTTCAAATATCAACTCCAACATACGAATATAAATACAAATAGAGGATTTTTTTTGACAAATGTTGATAAGCATAACACTAATACCGGATTTTCCGTTTATGAGTTAAAACAATTTAAAGTTTAAACTAGAGGAGTAGGGAAGGGTTGTGTTATGAATTTATCATCTAAATATATATATGAAATTTATTTTGCATTTTGTAAGTATCAAGGATGTGCGTTTTGGGGGTATCAACTTTCAATCTACTCCACAACTATTTGTATGCTCAAATTTCATGTTTTCACAAGAAATATCGGATTTTAATATCCCTATAGACAAAACGTAATAAAGCTCAAACAACCACAATTGTTTTAGATTAATAATTATAAAAAATAAATAAGTAAATGGGAGTGTGGGAAAAGTAATAGACAATAAGCTATATTTTTTATATTTATAAATACGCGATAAACTGTTGCTGATAATGGTTTATTATTAGGTTAGGTTTAGAGCGAAGTTTGATTATATATGTTTTAAAATACCATAATATGTACGATGTTAGTCAAAATATGATTTTAAAATGCTGAAAAAACTACTACTATAAGAATGTTCAGCGTAGAGCTAATTTTTTTGACCACATAGTTAAACTTATCTTGATGAAGCTTGAATTAAATTCTCATGAATTTATATTTACAAACCATTTTATTTTAAAATTTAAAATGTCTATAAATAGCTCAAAAATATATTTAGAAATTTGACTACGACTAGAAAAGACTATTACAAGTTTTCTGTCAAACATTCAAGTCTCTACCAATTGTTTTAACTGAATTACAACAAAATACAATGAAACTATTATTTCTGTAAACTTTTACAGTGTTCTACGTTTTTTCCTAGCTCAATTATTTAGAAAACTACTCGCTCACCAACTATGTTTGTATATCTATGGAATAAAAAAATAACAATATACTCTCAGCCAGGATATAACCAATCAACAGTAATTGACTTGTACCAGATCGGCCTACGGAAATTCAAAAACTTATAGCAGATCAATTTTTTGTTGTGTGCCTAGTTCCATAATTAAAAATATTCGTTTATCGATTTTATGGACTTGAAATTTGGGTCAAAACTTATATATATACCTGTTCTAGACGTGGTAATATTTTCAAAAAATTTAAGCCATTTTTGAGCTATTTATTGACATTTAATTTTGCTAGTTTTAACGTAATTTGTATTCGGTAGGTATTGAGTAGTAGAACTGTTAGACTAAACAGAAATGAATACAAATAACAGAAGGTTCATCAAAAGTTTTACTTTTTGGTAAAAAAAAAATTTAGTTTAGTGTGGTATTTTTTTCATAGAGGCATATTAATATCAAATTTTGACGAAAATCGTTACGAGTAAAATTTGTGTGGAACAAATCTAATTTTTCAATTTTTTATTTTGAACATAGTAGTATGTATATTTCTAATGTAAGGTCGATGGTTAAGTAAGAATTGAGTGGACTGACATAATTTCGAAATTATAGCTTTTTGAAGTTCTGATATTATATAGATATTATATGTTTTGTTAAATAATAATTATATATTGTCAAATTTAAAGCATGATTGTCGTAGTCTAATGGTAATACATACTTATTAACATTCTAGGGGTCGTGAGTTCAAACACGAGTTTCGAAACAAATTGTTTGTATTTGGTCTACCTTTTTATCTAACCAAAGAAAACATATGCATTTTGGGTGTACGTGGTGGAGACCCAGCCATCGCTCGCTCGGATTTTTTTTAATAACAAAATACCTCTCGATTGATTGTGCAAACTATTCAACCAGAATCTTGCTCCGATGAATCAAGTGTACCTTATTTTCTGAAAGGAATTTTAATCTATATGGTACTTTAAGGAAGTTATTTTTTGAGTTTTCAAACGGTTTTCATAATATCTGAAAAAAACCGGGATAAAATGTGGGAAAAACGAAAAATGTTTGAAATGTAGGTATTACTAAAAAAATATTATGGCGTTTTTTTTTCTGTGTACAACTTTTTCTTAAAAGAAACCTGACTGGGAAAGTACTTTACAGAAGTCATTTTTCGATTTTTCCAAAAGTTTTCCCAGCAACTGGGAATAAAACATGGGAAAACCAAGGAAAACGTAAAAGATTGGGAAAATCGGTACAATATTAAACAAATATTATTAAAGAAAATATAATACTTATTTGTTTCACCATAATATGATATATATATATATTAATGACAAAGCATCACTATCAACTGAACTCGTTAGTAATGGTTAGCAATCGTTTTTTCGTTAGCAATGTTTTATCATTACTTACAGATATACATTTAATTCCCTCCTGTATCCCTCCGTTCCCAATTTCCCACCTACAATAGCGACTGCACTCGTCCCCATTATCCAAGGTCAGCTTTTTTAAATTCTTACTTTTTAGTCAAAAAAATCAAAAATGTTTTTGCACAATGTAAATAAATAAAAAAAAAAAAAAAACTTGAACAATGTTTCCGTGTTAAAACCGAAACCCGTCCAAACCATTTTGATATAAAATAATATCCTTTTTCTAATTAATAACAACAGTTACTATAACATTTCAATGATGATTAATCGAATTGTAAATTGCTTACAAAAATTATATAGATTTAAAATTGGATTTTTTTTTTTTTTGTTGTTATAAGTCTAGATGCATATTACCTACACAGGCTATACAATATTTCGATATTCATTATCTCCCTCCATGGCAGAATCTTAAATACGCCATTGCTATAGGCAAGATGGGTTGGATCAATCGCGGTCTATCAGTTGTCAGGTCTAAAGCCTATTGCGCGGGGTCCGGGTTACGAACGTCAAAACACTATTATATCTAGGGAGACCAGACTGTTATTTGTTACAGTATTTTTCAAATTTTAATGTCGTCTACATCATTGTGTTGCTCCCGGACGGATTGTTCTTTGCGGCGCGTCGGCGATTCCGCTGCTATAGAATCCGTCGTTATAATATTATAATTCGACGTCTCTCGTCTATCTGTCTGTCTCTCTCGCACGCTCTCTCTTTCTCTTTTACCGGGAGTTTCCACTCGGTTTCGCGTCCCGAACTCGGTTACGCATTCCGGCGGAGGGGAGAGTCGGGGGGCGGTTGTCAGCGCGTCAAACTATTACGCGTTTTTGACTCCATTAAGTCGGCGGCATTAGCATAATAAACTCTCGCCGCCGCCGTCAAATTTACATAAACGTTTATATACACAACGCTATATCATAATATACGTCTATATATATATATATATAAAAATATATATATATATATATACATATTATTATATCGGCCGAACACGTGAAATGTATTACGCGTATAATAATCGTCGTATATGATTTTCGTATAATACGTATACACACATATATATATATATATATATATATATACATATAATCGTTATATTATATACGAGTAAAGTGCATATTATTATATACACGTTATTGTTATGAATATATTATAATATATATATATATATATATATATATATACGTATAATAATATAATATAATATAAATTGATACCGTAACGACTTTAATTGTAACTGAGTGCCGGCGAATTATGCCGCGCGGGGACGACGCGGCGGCGTTCGAGTGGAAATAAGACCGGCGGGGCGTACGGAGCGACGGACGGCGGTGCGGGAACGGGGAACGGGTGACGGGTGGGGGTTCTTCGGCCGATCGGTTATGACATTGTTGTGCGCCTGAGGGGTGTGCGACGGCCACGACGATAATGTGTACAAAATATAAAAATATATTTCCGAGGCCGCGTATTATTATTGTTTGTATTGTTGTTGCCGGAGAGCGGCGTGGTGGCGGCGACGCGACGCGTGGCGGCTGTAATGTGCGGCGGAATGGGTCCGCGAACGGCGCGCGGCGGCGTCGGCGGATGGAGCGGGTCTCGCGAGCGGAAACCGGGACCGGGAGGCGGGTTCCCGATCAGAAAAAAAAAAAAAAACCTTCTTTCGTGACAACGACCGTCCGACACGACCATAACGGCAACGTTATTCCCGTAAACGCGGCCCGCCGCGAATAATATTACGTTACCGCGGCGCTATTACTCAACCGCCATAGATATTGCTATTAAAACGCGCCGCCGGTTGCGGTGCGGGCCCGGGTGCGCGCGCGCGATATTATTTCAGATGGGGTGTCTCGGACTCGCGGTCGACAACCGCGGCAAACCGGAAAGGTTTAGCGTATGCGGCACCGACAAATCGTCGCGGCCAACGAGCCCGGGACGACGATTCTGTGCGGATTTCGCTTTTAAACGTGACAATATTTTGAAAACGTGCCGTCGTTTCTTATGGTTTTCGTCGAAATCTGAATTTCGAACGCTTATACAGTACGCTCTAGATAGTCCGAATTGCTGAGCAGTTCGAAATACCGACGGCAAAACAAAATAATTCGAATTCGTTATTATAAATGTATCCGCAAATTAGGCGGTTTTACAGTATTTATTGTTTTTAAAATCTAAACGTAAATTTATTATTATTGTTAAATATATT